GCCGCGTCCACGCAGGGTCACCTAATGCCCGTGATCCCCTCTTCCACCAAGCGTTGCCGGCCCTCGGCCTGAAGGCACACGCTGACCTTGTTTGAGGTGATCTGATAAAGGCAGACTTCCTTCAGGTTCTGGTCTTGTGCGGGCACAGAGCGCCTGAGAGCCCCAAGGTTAAACTGGGCGCGTTTCGGTAAGCTGTGGTGTCGCTGATCACGTTTCAGCGGTGTTATTCAAGACAACTGCCTGCTGGGGAATAGCATCAGGCACTGCACCTTGCACTGCTTACCCACTTGGGACTTTCACTGGATTCTGTGCAAGCTGGGAAGGCTGAATTTGGTAGTAATATTTAGCAGGAGTGGGCTTCCACAGTGGCGTTACATAATATCCCGGTACGCCCTCGCTTCCAGCCCCGTTGCTCTATGCGATTTCTCGTTGTTCAAGGGAGATGCATCAGATTTCATTAACTTTTCAGTGCTGCTGTTGCTTTATCCTGGTGACAGCTAGAGAGGTTTGCCTATTGCCAGCTAGAGTTTTAAGTGCTTCTAACTAACTGTCATGGTGTCACGGCTTCAGTTGTGACATGATACTGTTCTTGAAATGCACATGACGTTTTGTGCACGGAGGCTAACTCACCGGCTTGTATTTAGAAAGGGGAAAAGGAACTTGAGGGTTTTTTTAAGACAGCAGTTAAAAAAAAAAAAGTAGTTTAAATAGGCTGTCTGCTCACATGATATCTGTGTACTGTGCAGCTATGAAACAGGATTTTGTTGTGGTATGTGTGCTGCTCCTCTGTGGAAGTGCTTGAGTCTGAGCAGTTTGAAACAGACCGGGTAGCCCGTGAAACAGATGGGTTGCCCATCAGCAACTGAACTCATGCTCCCTCATGAATACTCACTTACCCAGCTGCTTTAAATTTTGTTTTAGTATTGAATTTGAGTTATCTGCAGTCTCTTATTAGGGGGAGGGACGATCACTTCCCCTAGGGCTTTACTGCTCAGGATCCTACTGGATACCTGGTGTTAAACAGTGAATAGATGGGAACAATCCTGAAATAGCTGATTGAGAGACCCTGGGATGCCCAGTGTTGTGACTAAGGAATTGGGTTTGATTTTGAGTCTCTTTTTTTCCTTTTCATTTATTGTGTTCTAAAAGGTGGGGGAAGAGATGATCTTGGAGTGGGAGAAAATATATTTATTTTTTAAATTGAAATTTTTCCACTTCTGACATCCTAGTCCTATGTGGAAGCTGCTGTATGAAAGTGACTGATTCATACCTGAGTTGATGACTCTTAAAGAGGAAAAAGGTTATTTATGGTGACTCAAAGTTTTTATTTCTAAGAGAAAATATTTAAATAACTAGTGGTGCATGCCCCTGAGGAAAAAAGAATAGAGGAACTGACTGAAATCAGAAGTGATTGGAATAATGAACAGTTAAAATACTTTGTGAGTCTTTACTCTGCTTGAAACATTGCACTCTGGTTTGGGGTGACAGGTAGCTGACAATAGCAAGGGTGGCAAAATCAGCTTTAGTGCTTGCTGAATACAGTGCATGTTGGTACATCGCTTAAATTAGACTTGTTTTTATTTTATGTGCAGTGTTTGATGTGCGAAAGATCCTTGCTTCTCCATGCTACTTTCTGTGGTAGATTTCTAGTGCTTTCTGCTCTTCTCCTAACTGAGAAGGAACCTTTGTCTTTACTGAGGATGCTAACTCAACGCTGCTGTTCTTGAATTAGTGAGAGTTTGAGATTCCCAATCATGTCTAAACAGGAGTTTGAGATCTAGCATTGATTTCTTATGATTCTTGCAGCTGTTTTCATGCTGATGGATTTTGGCTTCTACTGATTTTTATCTGGTTTAGAGCTGGTGATCCGGACAGGAGTCCTTCATGTCGGTTCATTGATTCCTTCCATGCTGTGTGGTAGGTCTGTTGGCCAGACTACAGTATTGTTCATCAAAACCTCATGTGCTCAAAGAACCTCCTTTTTGTTTGAAAGACCTTTGTTTTCCAAGCAGACCTTATTTTTATTTTTTTAATGCAAATGTTGTTATAGGATCTCTATGAAAAAAATATTTGGTCATCTGCTCTAGATTACTGGCTTGAACCCTTCTGCCATGGTAGTGACAGATACTACTACTTCTGTTTAACGTCAGTTTTTCTATTTGTGAAAGTAGTGTAGGTGAATTACTGTATGCTACCACTTTTTTATTGTTCTCAGGTGCACAAATAGAGAAACTTAAGTCAGAAATTACTTGTGTGTGGGATTTGTAGTGGAAATAGGAATTTTCTTCCTTCGTCCCTCCTAGCAGAAGTGTGTGTACTTGGCTGACTTTTTGTAAATATTCGGTTATTCATAGCTGGCAAAATTGCAGGCACTGGAAGCACTGCTGCATTTCATTGATAAAAATGTTCTGGATAACTGTGTCTCTGAAAGACATTAAAACACTTTTTGCTTACTGTTACTATCGCAGCGCACAGATCCTCGCTGAAGTGCTGCGAGTGTGATGCTGGAATGAACTGTTATAAAAGGTTTCCTTATTGACTTATCTCTAGTCTGTAGCTGCAAGATAATGATTCGTTAATACGAGGAATTTTTTTGTCTTTATTTTTAATATTGTGTCTTTTAGGAATATAGAAAACAAATTTCTGGTCTGTTTATTTAAAAGTGCATTTTACATTTGTAAACATAGCTTGTTCCAAGCTTGACTGATCTTAATTTAACATCCTCCTCTTTTTGAAGTAGACTAAAACAAACGAACACACAAAAAACCCTCCAATAATAAACTTGTTGTCTTTATGCCTCTGATTACAAATGATACTATTTAATGTGCTCCTGTTGCACCTGCAGTACTTCAGGAACTTGCCCATCGGGAAAATCTCTAGTTTAGTTCCCACACAGGATGTTAAATGTTTTGGTTCCCATTTGTTTCAGCACAGAACTTAGTGCTGTGTATACCTCAAAAAAGAATGTCTTAATTTTCTATTTTAGTTCTAGCCAGGTGAAGATCGGGAGAATAGTGTAATAGTCATGTTTTCAAGGCTAGCTTATCATGCCTGTAGCATAGGGCCATACTTTATTTTCTCATTATCATTTATCAAGAAACATTGTCCTGCTATCTAGTAGGCCGGATTATCACAAGGGTTCAGTTCTCCCACTAGCACTTTTGTCTGTAGTTTCAAGGGAGTGTGCTGAAGATCTAACTGATTGTTTTGGTATTTACACGGTTTAATGCTTTTAAACAGTTGGCTTGAAACACTTTTATGGAGTTCTTCAGGAGTTAATTTATGCAATTATTTAACAATGACTGTAACTTAGATTGCGAGTTCAGTAACATTGGGAATTTTCTGTCACTTAGGGGAGTATAGTCTCTTACTTCCTCTTTATTTGTTAGTATCCAGGCTTTTCTTTGTCCCATTCTTCAAAAAAAAAAAAAAAAACCCAACCCAAAAGTGGGGGAGAATGAAAATCAAGTTACCAAAACTCTGTTTTGGTTCTGCAGCTTCTGCAGCCCTCCATGGACTTCAGAGGAAGTGACCAAATTATCTATGGACTCTTATTAGATAACCAAACGTGCAGCTGATTACTGTGCCATGCACTGGCTGAACAGAAACTGGTAAAATGTGAAACTGAAATGTCCTTGGCAGCAGATGCTTTACTATTATAGAAGGGGACAAAAACATCTGCAATGGTGGAAGTTAATCTGCTCAAGTTCTAGAAGATTTCACATAATTTTTCAGTGATTGATTGGCTTTACATTTTAAAAATCAGTTCTCCATCTTTAAAAAATCCTGCTTGTGAATGGAAAGTTGTTGGGGTCTTTTTTAATTGCAGCTAGCACTCTTATCCTTTTCTTGTTTTTTGAAATTAGAGAGCTGGATAATTATGATATACCCTGCTTTGCTTCTCATCTTGTTCTTGGAAGTTTAAAATGCATTTCGTTACTGAGATGTAGAACAAGTGGAAAGCAGCATTTGAAACGTTATCTTAGAGAATACAATTTGTTTGGCTTCTGGTGCATCACACCACAATGGTATGCAGTTACCTTCCCCCTTTATTCAGGTATTATTGGAAAAGATAGGCATGTCAGGTTGGGAATGGGAATTCCCATGCAGAATGGGAATTCATAAGGTTGAGCTTGTACCCTGAAACAAAAACCCCAGAACAGTGCCTCGGTATTAAGGTGTTTGAGTGAAGCTTGGCAGGAGAATCCAGGGAAGAACCCTCCTTTGTTTGCTCTTTGAGATAGTTAGGGCTTTGGCAGTTTGCAAAAAAAAAAAAAAAAACCCAAACCAGAAAAACCCAAACAAACAAACAAAAAAACTTGTGCTGGTTTTGGCTGGGGTAGAGTTAATTTTCTTCACAGTTGCTAGTACGGGGCTGTGTTTTGGATTTGTGCTGGAAACAGTGCTGATAACACAGGGATGTTTTGGTTACTGCTGAGCAGGGCTTGCACAGCATCAAGGCCTTTCCTGCTTCTCACCCCACCCCACCCCACCAGCGAGGAGGCTGGGGGTGCACAAGAAGCTGGGAGGGGACACAGCCAGGACAGCTGACCCCAACTGACCAAAGGGATATTCCACACCACATGACGTCATGCTCAGCATATAACGCTGGGGGAAGAAAAGGGAAAGGGGGGGGCATTTGGAATGATGGCGTTTGTCTTCCCAAGTAACCGTTACGCGTGACGGAGCCCTGCTTTCCTGGAGATGGCTGAACACCTGCCTGCCCATGGGAAG